CTCCTTGGTGATAAAATATATATGAAAAGGCAAAAATAATACTCCTTTTATTGTTAAAAATAAAAAATTTAACAATAAACTAATGCATGGTATCTAATGGGCTAACCGCTAACCATAAAATAAAAGAGTTGAATGAGCCTGACCTACATGAGATTTGGCCATCAAGTAAAACAAATGAACATCATTGGTTTGTCATTCTAAAACAAGCTATTTTCTTTGGCATAATATATATTATGCTATTATTTTATATCTTAGTGGCTAAAATATAATGTATTTTAAAGTTATTCAATGGTTCAACCTCGACCAACCCAATTATTCCAATTTTTATCATTTCAAATATATATTTTATAATTATTTGACATCATATTGATCAAATTATAGTGTGTTTTATAGGGAATCGTTTGGTATTTGTTAGTAAAAAACTAAACATAAAGATTTATTTGGTTATTTTAAACATTAAAACGATCCTAAACATTTTCAGTTCCTTTTGAATTTCTATGGTTTTATTCCCGAATAAGTGATGTGCAAATGGCGAATTGTAGTCGTCTCTTTTCTTTTACTATTTTTTATTTTCAAATAGAAAGTTTAAAAGTAAAGAATAATTAGAATTTGGCATGGGCCGGTCAAACAGGCTGAATTTCAAGTTTTGGCCCGTTTGTTTTATGCATTGCAAATTTATTAGCATGTTGATGGAAATGGCTTGGAAAAAAGACATATAAGTTGTACCTTTGCAGAAATGTCCTCAAATGTTTGAATGCTTTGTGAATCAGGTTCCGTGACTTTTGTGATGGTGTATGTGCTTGACGATTGCTCGATGTTGTAACTACTTAATTTGAGAGTAAATCTTTTGATTTTCCCTATGAGTTGTGATACCAGTTCTGGTGGTTGCAGCATGTTGTCGTTGTTGTCCTGTAAAAGTTGTTCCGCCGTGATGCTAAATACCTTTCTTTCCTTTTTAACAAATTGTGTAGTAGTGCTATGAAACAGACCACCCATGAACGCTACACTTATTATGGCATGTTCTTACTTCTGGTGGTGAGAAATTGTGAATTGAGAATCATATTCGCCTACCGCACTGTGTCTGGCTGGTGGCTGCTTACTGTGCTCTCTAGAGTTATGAAACAGACTACCCATGAACGTTACCCTTAAGAGTCCATAACTTTGCGAAAAACCAAATTTAGGCAATCAAAGGTGGTGGATGTGTGATGATTTTTTATGGCTTAATTGTTTGTGAATTGGATATCTGATCTTTGTATGATTAGAGGGGATGTTTGCTTAATAGAATAATCTATTTTAATTCATGTTTATTTTTAACATGAAGTTTAGTAACTCAAAACCTTCGAGACACATATCACCTACTGCATTGTATCATTTTGCCTGGGTACTTGCTGTGTTGTCAAACTTCTTTTCTGCTGCTGCTGCATTTACACTAACAGGGGAGTTAAGAACCCATGAATGTTTCCATTTGACACAAACAAGAGGACTTACTTCTAAATCGTGCATTAAAGATGACTGGAGGAAACATCTTTGTTGTAGTTGATATACTGGAGACCATAACAAAAACAACGTATAACATCAAAACCAACCATCTGAACTATTAGTATTGTTGCTTTACTCTTTTTTCGTGGTTGAGTCTCCTTCAAAAAATTTAGTTTGATTTTAGAAAATTTTGCTTCTGCAGTCCTGTCTTGCCACCAACGTGTTCAGAAGATGGAGATGGCAGAGGCGAAGGCTATTTTTGTGTTGTTGTTGCTGGTTTAGGGATCGGTTTGTGAAGAAGAGGGGAAAGAGAGGGGGAAAGAGAAATGCAGGAGAGGGGGATAACTCTTTTCTCCGACAAAAATGGAGTGAAGAAAGGAATTATGATCAGTAAGGATATGGTTATCTTACATAACGGTCTCTATTCTGTTTGAATTGAGCTTGGGAGGCAGTGATAAGGACGAGCTGCAACCAATTCATAGTGCTAAGAATGCTATGAACTGTGATCATGTCTTATTTCAAGTTAGAAGGTAGTTTCAGTATAAGGATTATTTAATTTGACAAGTTGTTTCGTCCATGATTCTTGGTAGTTTCAGTGCCATTCTAGCCATTGTTTAGTCTGTAATTTTTGAGAATTGATGTGCGAGTAATGACTTTCACTTACCTTCAACTATTATGTGTGTATTTATTGGCATGTGATAGAATTCTCTTTTCCTATTCTTTGAATTCAGTTTCATACTCTAATTGTATCATTTGTACATAGGCAAATCATGCTCGAGATGACAACTCGCTGATATGGCTGGTGCAAGGAATGAAGCCATCATTAGAATTCAGACCGACAACGGGGAGGGATGCCCAGAACTAATTCAATGATGATTGATGATGGTATAATAAAAACTGCAGTCTGCATCAGCACCAATTTCTAGGCCTAAGTAAAGTTATTCAACCCAGAACTCTGCTTAGCGCTAAAATTGCCCTCACCCAACCTTGATCCTGTTTGACCCACTTCTGAAGAGTCAAGATATATGACTAATCCTCTCCGTTCATATTTTCTTATTAACTCTTTCTGACCCTTTAGGTTGGGGCAGGTCGGGAAGAATCAGATTAGTGGGTCGGTCTTAATCAAGTGGAATCCTAATCCCTTCACTCTCACTTGCTTTCTCTCCCATTCCACAAGTGGGTAACATACAGTAATCCGGCCAACGGGCCGGGTAATAAGCTAGTAATATTAATTATAATAACACTATTAATTTATATTTCCAACAATCTATCCTCCTTGAAAGCGACCTTGTCCTCAAGGTTGCAGTCACTTTCACTTTCTCGATCTTCCGCTTTCTTCGATTCCTATTGTGTTCAAATTCCACGAATGAACACTTTTCCAGCAACTGCAACTTTCGCCGATTCTTCTCCAACCACGTGACATGTAACCACATGATACCTGTCACATGCTCCATCGCTAGACAATTCTTACTCCTCCTTGTCGAAAATCACAAAATAAGAGTCAGCGAACTGCTCTCAATTGTGCTCCGGCTTGGAATCTTCATGAAGACAAGCCCTTTTCTGCTCCATTCCCTTTCAAAAGCGTTTGAATTAACTATTAAAGCCTTCTTGGAAGCCCACTTTTGTGTCCACTTCTCTCTTCCTTCAAATTTCCTCACTGCAAACTAGAGCAAATAAGACAGCCCAATTGTAGCCAAAATCTCCCTTGATCATTCGGCCCATCTTACTCTTGAAACCCCTCTGATATTGTCTTGTTCGATCCATTACCAAACCTATTTCCGGCCCGCATCACTACAAATCGAGGCCCGTTCCACTACTCCAATCGAGCTGACACGAGCTCAGCTAGCTCTTTCCTCCTCCATAGCCTGCGAAGAAGACTCTTTTCCACCTACTCCACTACTACTACTAGTGATGGCAATGGGGCGGGGCGTGGCAGGTACCTCAATGCCCATGCCCCGCCCCACGCTACTACGGGGCGGGGCGGGTAAAACCCGCATGGGTACGGGGCGGGGCGGGTCGACTCACTCTTACATGTTATTCGAAAAAAATACAAATATAATTTACTTTTTACGATAAAACGAAGGGAAAAACACTTTAAGAATGAAAAACAGTGATAATAGAATGGGTAATTGAGTCTAACAAGTTGAAAGAGCGACTCTAACTAGTTGAAGAAAAGTAAAAAAAAGGAGAAATATGTATAGAAATTGTAAGAAATTGAGATAAAATGAGTCTAGAACGGGGCGGGGCGGTGCAGGGCGGGTCGGAAATAGATACCCATGCCCCGCCCCACGCTACTGCGGGTCGGGTAATACCCGCGGGACGGGTTGAAATTGCCATCACTATCCACTACACAACCCAGTAGCCATCCCTTTTCTTATTCTCTTCTTTGTTCCTCGTTAGCGACCACTCCGTCTTCTCCAACAATTTCTTCTTTCACTAGCTCATCGACAACATCTTCTTCGACTCGTCCTCCGTCGGCGGTTCCTTCTTCGGCGACGCCCGCTTCTCCTCGTTTTCCGGCGAAGCGATCTCCAGTAGGCTGGGAGGCAGGTTCGACCTGGCGACCCTGTCCTCCGGCCTTCTCTCGTCGTCGCTCGTTGGCTTGAAGGAGAGAGAAGTCACCATCGTCTTTTTTTGTCTCTCCCCTAGGAATCCTCGACTCCGACGAGTTCTCCTAACGCTCGATCTCAAGGCCATCTCTGGCACTTTACTTTTTCTTCCTGAAACTCCAGTCCATAATGTGACCCGGCGGTGACCTCCTCTAAGAATCCTGAACTTTGGTGTCGACTTCAGTAGCCATCCCGACTAACATGATCGTGGTGGCTTTGACCCTCTCCTTGGTCATCACCACCGCGCGCGCCTATCGGTGGTGCTAGGATTTATTCCGTGGTCGGCGGCTCCGCTGCCAGGGGCTCATCGACCTTTGTCTTTTTCTCGATTGGTGAAGGAATGGCTAGCGATGATGGTGATGTCACATGGGAGATAGCCGCTGCAGCAACTGCTTTCTCGGCCTTCAACGTGGTGGTGGTTCCACCTTGCTCGAGCTTGATTGGGAACGCAGATTGTTCCAACCAATCTTCGAAATCCATTTCTGCGATCAGCGGTTTGATTGCGGTGCAAGCTGCGGCTGGAGGTGGAATTGGACTACTCACTACTCTCTATTCTCGCAGCTTCCAACTCCATTTTAAGAACCATGGTGAGTTCTTTGAGTGAGAGCCCTTCAAATCTCAATATGGCTCCGATATGAGTGCATGCAAACAGGCTCTGATACCACTGAAAGAAACCCTCTTCTAGAGTCTCTAGGTTCTGATCTTTGGCACCCATAATTATTTGTAACAAATAGGGATTGAGAGAAAGAATTAGGGATTTAGATTGGCAATTTAGGGAAGAACATAATAGAATCAAGAATAGGCAGAGGCCTTGGGTTCGGGGAGAATAGAAATTAGGAATTGAGAAAGATTAGGTTTAGAAGGAATACTTTCCTTAATACTTTTCTTAATTAATTCTCAATGAAACACCAAACATATTTATAGGAAATAAACCCAAAGCTCTAACAATTAACCCTAACCTACTCAACCATAACCAGCCGCCTAACTCTACTAACCTAATAATATTAATTATAATATAATACTATTAATTTATATTTCCAATAGTGAACAAGTGGAGATTCAAACGAGCTTTTTCCAAGCCTAACTCTACTAACCTAATAATATTAATTATAATATAATACTATTAATTTATATTTCCAACAGTAAACAAGTGGAGATTCAAACGAGCTTTTTCCAAGCCGAACGTCAAGCAGCTCGTAAATACATCGTCTCATTAACAACCTTATCCAAGATCAGCAATATTAAAGAATAAGAGTTCAAAACCATTGTAACGAAGTTGAGATTTACACGAACATCTTAAATCGTACTTAAAAAGTAGTACGAATGAATCCAAGGAAACAAATCCAGAACGACATTGGATGTGATATTATTATTGCATTATATCTCTTCTTCCATACATACAAACGCCAGAGCCCAGAAACAAGCTTCTTCAACACATCCATCAACTTCAACTATAGAGAACGCACAGTCGCATATAATGGTGCATATACATGTTCTATCTATCTGTCTACCTTATATACGAGTTACCTATCTTACTACTATCTATATATTGCGTGGATGTATAGATACGTCAGGCAAAATGATGACGCTGAGGACGAGGGTAAGACGAAGCCCAGTTCGGTCTCGTCTCAGCGCTACTACTCTCCATTCGCCTCAGTCTCTTCTGCCGGTACCTCCACGCAACTTGAATCCGCATTGCTGCTATGCTTCTCCAGTAAGGGGATGCATACCTGTGCAAACAAGAAGTCAATCCCACACAGCCATGCATATAACTCAGAAGCTGGTTGGGACGTAACATTCGTACTCTAGGCATGCATAGATAGAAGTGAAGAAGCAACCTGATGGCGCTTTGGACTCGTGGATTCCTCAAGCTCCTGGCGAAAATGCTGGTGACATCTTCCAGGTCGATTGCTCGAAGTGAGAACGCCTCCACGTTGGTTAAGCACCTTACAGTTCTGCTGCTGATTAATCTCTGCCCTGGCACCTTGATTTTCTTGCCTTCTGCGAAAATTCATTAATCAACCTATTAGAAATGCTGGTTGGTTTTCCTTAATTAGAACGACTATGACTCTGACAAGGCCGTAGTTCCATACCTTTGCTGACTGAAGAAGCATGCTCAAGACACCAAGTTAGCAGTTCCTCCCCACAGACTTGGCCTTCGGACAAAATGATTTCAGTTCCATCCACCCCCACGCTCTCCAACTTTCCCCTAACGATGAACACCATCTTATCCACCACACCGCCGCGGTAGAAGATTTCACTGCCCTTGATGTATATTCGCTGTTTCAGTTTCTCGCAGATGGCGTCCAGTACGTTGACATCCATCAACCCAAATATCCACACCTGCAGTACTCATCGGTGCCAAATGTTTGATATTGTTTCAACGGTTGGAAATTTTTTAACAAAAGCGGGTTGGTATGGAAATATTCCTTGACGACTCACCTGCTTAACAAAATTGAATAAATGCCTTCTAATTTCTCTTTGGAGATCTTCAGGTAAATTCTCCAACAGCAGTTCTTCATTCGCTCCTCTGGTAGCAGCCCAATTATACCGTTCAGCTTCCACCACTTTCCTGTATCCCATAAAAAAAATTAGTAAAACTAACTCAAGTCAATATATAAGACAAATTTTCAATGTTTGATTTCTAAATATGCCAGATAGCATCGAAGTTGTCTTCTTTCCCATGTTTGATCTACGAAGAGGATTGAAGAAAACTCTTCCACCCAACTAAGGACATGTACTAAAACTTTATCAACGAGACTTCTTCATTGACTCTATAATATACACGTTAACTTGAGACATTAATTATCAACATGACAGATCTGTAAACTAGTATCCAAACGGGACACTTGGAAATGGACCATATATGAATGTTGTATGTGCGAAAAAGCGGATGGATCGTGCGATCACTTGTTTTTGCAATGTCATTTTGCATCCAGGTTGTGGTATCACTTTCACCTCAGGTTCAATATTGTGGGTCCATTGCCACAAAGATACGAACTTTTGAGAGCACAATGAAAATTCTTGACTGCCATGGATAACACGGCAAAACATATTATGGTGATCCCTCATGCCATCCTATAGAGTATATGGTTGGAACACAATACACAGATCTTTGGAGACGAAGTTCATAACAGCTCCCAGATTCAATCTCAACTGGCATTCCTTCTCACAGAATGGACAGCCATCAAGGACCTCAAGGGTTGATGGCTGTCCAGGATTCTGAGACGAAGTTGATAACAGCTCCCAGGTTTCGAAAACGCCTCAACGACACCACTTGCTTTTCCATTTATACTATATAATTGAATACCAAATTATGTTTCTATTTTTCTGTCGACTAGTTTTCCTTTTGTTGCTCTAGTCACTTTTCTTGTGTTATACATTCCCTTTGTATTGGCCCTCCACAAAGGGATTTAAATCAATGAGATACTGCACACTTGTAAAAACACATATGAATGTTGTACCTCCTTAGTTCTTGTGGCAAACGCCGATGACTCATCCACTGGTCCACATCACGACGCCTTAGAGACATTTCTAACCTCCTAAAATATGGAATTGACAGAACGTATTAGGCAAATGATTACTTAGCGAAAGTAGAATAATTCATCATAGTCTAAGTATAGGTCGTTATAGGCAACATTAAGAATGAGGAAAAAACTGTACCTCCTTCCAAGAGCCTGGAGAAAGTTCTGCATGTTGCCAATGAGAAATGCAAAGAGCAACAGGCCAAGTCCAACTATTAGCATTGTGAAAAGGACTTCCCACACAAAATAGCTTGGTACCTGGTTTCCAGCAAGAGTGCTGATTTGCTTCACCAAGAGTCAATCATGCACATGTTAGAAGCCCAACCAGAAACATTTACAAAAATACCAATATAAAAAGCTCAAAATTAACCCAGGTTATTTAAAAGTATGATTAAAATTAAATAAACTTAGGAAATCTGTCATCCATCATGATATGCAAGCTTAAGAACAATAGAAAAACGTAACTCGTGAATGAACAAATGCATGGCAACGAAAAGATAGATAATACATTCAATATAACTATATGATTTACCTGAAAACCCCAAAACAATGAATATGTGTATCTAGTGATAAAACTACTTTTTGTGGTGAGGTTGACCGCCTGAGCATAAATCCCATAAGAAAAGCCACCACTTGTCATAAAACATGCAGTGGCATTGACATTATTTGTCCATATTTTCCATTCAGGTTTGCGAGAAAATTCTCTTAAGTCATCACCATGGCCACAATCTACGAAATTCACACAGTTGGTGATATTAGAATTACGGCAGGCATCACGGAAGCACTGATTAACCCTCTGCACAAAAAATATAATTTTAAATTAGAATGTTATGATATTAGTCAGAGCACGGATATACATAAATAAAGATGAGGCATCATCATCAAACAAGTGATGATTATATTTCAGCTAACCTGTAATCCAAAGAGGTACCAACATGATCCCATCACATGCCCAGACAACATAAAAGTGAGAAGGTTGATAAAGAAGTTTGCCCATGCCGTCTCAAATATGAAGCCACTTTCTGACTGACCAATAAGAAGTGGTAAGAACCTATACAATCTAGGAATATATTGTACAAGAACTGCTGCCCTTAGAAGGTTTTTAGCATAATTGGCTCCAGATGATCCCAAAATGTCTGGTAGAACCATTAATACGATGATCTGCATAATGTTCAATAGAGGAGTGAAAACGGAGAATAACAGAGGTAACCGGTTCATGTAAGTTGAACTGTAAGGTCGTGCAATTGTTAAATAAATATGACATACAATCTGTAATCAGAAATCTACCCCATGCTAAACTTTGAAACCTAACAGAAACGGGTTCTGAAGCATACAAGTACCTCCAATCACTTTGGCTGAAGATCTCATGAAAACATGGAATACTAGATAGTTTTGAAACATGCAAGATGGGGCATTAGATCAACTTACTTGAGGAAGAGGCAGTACAATGAACAAGTCAATGAAAAAGCATTTACGTATGTAATTCTTTGCAATCTTCTTGGGATGGTCAACTAACTCTCCAGCACCAACCACAGTAGATTCAGGAGCTACATAAGCCAACCTAAACTGTTCCAATTGAATCAAGTCAAACTAATTAGCAACGGTTCACCTATAGAAGAAAGGGTAAGCCGATAAGAAGTTCTTAAGCGATTCACTAGAGAGCATGTTCAGGGTCTAATATTTCAAAATGAGATGATATAAAGTAGTGTGTATTAACATAACCCAACGTACAATGAGTCAATGACAAGGGAAGTGCAAAAAGAGGATGAACAACGTGTAAGAAAGGAGGCACTTCTAGTGAATGAGAATGCAATACATCCATATCAAGGAAGCATACAAGAAGGTTTCTTTGCTGATGCATCGAAGCAAAACTTTAACTGCATATTTTCCTAAAGACACAAGCAAACAATAGAAGATTTATTTTGAGACATCCATGCACTAAAGGACATTGTACCTGGAGAAGTATGTTCAACAAGTATACAAAATCAGTCACACTCCTTAAGACCACAATCGTCGTCGTTAACGTGTAGTTTATGTATATGCACTTGTTATCCTGTATTTATAAGAAGAAATCACCAAACACTATTTCATGTCAGATTGCAGCATGAACAACTAATCTTGGAAATACTAGCATTCGTGGGGCGCATATGCACACTACATGGGATATGAAGTGATTCCAAACAATCAATGACATCATGAGACAGGAAAATATTAAATTACTTAGACCCAACAAAGTCAGGCATGTACAAGGCAACAATTTCTTGTTGCTCATACACTTACTCTCCGTTATCCTATACTATATAAATAACATAACCTACACTTTATAAGCATCACGTCTCCAAGTTTCAAGTGCACGAAAAACACGAATAACCAAGTACCGACCACTACAGGCTACAGAATGTGAAATCCCTAAAACACCTTCCATATTCTTTTCTATTTACATATTTTCCGGGTTGATTGGGATTATGCCAAAATGATAGGTGATGAATCATTGAAGTGGGAAAGAGAAGTACCTGGTCCACACCTAGCAAGAAGAAAAACAACGGGTCAAGAAAAATGGCCACCAGACACGAAATGACGAAAAACTTGTTCCACCTTTGAACGATTTTGGTATGAGGATTCATGACCGGGGGGATATATGGAGTAAAATAGGAAAAGAACCTCCTTGCCCAACTTTTTGCATCACCATACAGAGCATTATGGAACTGCAAGGCCAAACAATATGAAATGTGAGACAATTATATAGACATTATAAACACTCAAGGAGCTCATAAGCAGAAACAATGGTGATATCAGAAACAGGAGTTACTTTGTTCCTGTAAATGACATTTTTACTTTCCTTACAATCCACAAACAACACTGAAGGTTCTCTCACCTGATGGTCAAAAATAAGGGAAGCTCTTGAATGCTTCTGCTTTGCTGCGGTGGTATTGTAATAGGTGGGACAGGTTGTGCAGTAAGGGTCACTGCACATCCCCAAGGGACCAGACCTCAATAGATGTTCATTCTTAGCACCATGCTTATCACCACTCCAGTGATAATCCTGTTTCACGGTCTTGTTCCTAGGCAAACCAGGCTTCTGATGCGAAACATGTTCAGATGGGCTGCTTATGAACAGAGGACCACTGAGTTGACTCGGGGGCATTCTCCTCTCACTGCGAAGTGGGCCTGTAAAGCCTCCGAGATGGTTCTCGTTCTCGTACCTATCCATAGGAATGGTGAAGGTTGCACTACGAGATCTCAAGAGCACATCCCTGTATCTAGCATCATCCACAACTTCATCCGACATTAGTGAATTTGCACCTGAGATTGACAGCATAGGCACCTCGTCTCTATCATCATCAGCCATATCTCCCTATGTCCTATCAGGGGGAAACCAGCATAAGCAGAGAAAGCAGTTCAGAAAAAGAAGAAATTTACAAACATAGGAAGGATAACAGCACACAGGTACAGCTATTGACATAGCTCCAGTATCAGAGACATTAACAAAGCTGTTGAAGAAAATAGTAGTTGTATCCAATAGAGAACCCTAAAGAACCCGGAATCAACTTAAGAAGAAAAAAAAAAGAGCTTCCGGTTGACTTGAGATCAAATTCCAAACTGCAATTCACTTGTTGTGCTAGCCATTATCCCATTTGTCCATGTCCATCGAGTTGCTTTTGAGACTCAACATATCAAGTGCTAAATTCCAACTCCACGAACAGAGTTCTAGCGGTACAACCAAAAGATCAAAGTAAAATTGAGTTTCATTGAACCAGGTAACCGCAGTCTGGATAAATGACTGAACAACACAGAGAAGCCAACGTTGACTTGATCATAAATGGTTGACTTATGGTCAGCTCAGCAGTCCCTTATCCAGCTCCAGTTAAAGCCTAAACTGATGAAAACGAAAATTCAAACAGCAACACAGACAGAGCACTTCGAGACTCTCTCTCTCTCACTCACTACAGTCTACAAGTCGTTAGCTAAGGAACATAATTTTGAAACTCTGTCGTCGGCCGGAAGAATGTGCAGGCGAGGCTAAAATTAGAATCGCTGAATTGAAATTTCCACAAGGAAAGAAAATGGAAGAGTAAAGAGGGAGAAGATGGAGAGGAACCTGAAGATGCTCCTGCGAATCAAGTAACGGCAACCATGGGCGGAGAAGAGAAGGCAGGAAGGAACAATTGGTAATGGAAGCGGGGAGAAGAGTAGAAGGAAGGAAGGAAGGAAAGAAGCGGCGTGGAATGGCGGGCAAATTTGGAAGGGAAGAAAAGTCTGGGTGAAGCTGTGATTGATTGATACTGATAGCTTGTGGAAACTTGGGAGCTGATTTATTGTTAACTAACACCGCGCGCAGAAAGAGAAAGAAGGGGAAAGAGCGGGTTGCTTTCGTTTTTCGTTTTCGGTACTAATTAAAAATGAATTGTTGTTCTGATTAATTTACTTTTTCCAGAGTTTGGGACAAAAGGTTCGGTTTTGGTCCCTAAAATATTTCTGGGTTGCCTTTATAGTCTCATCATTCTTTCTTTTGATCAAAGTTATCAAACCGGCTTAAACCGTTATACCTGTTTAACAAGTGATAGTGTACTAGAGGTGACAATTAGGATTGTATAAGGACCATCTAAGTTTCGTGTCTTTTTTTTCCCTCGAAATTTTCACAAAAATGTCCATCTACTGACAAAAATTTTCTTTAATTTCTTCGAGAATCTGATTGTATAAGGACCACCATTCTCAATTATTGTCAATCTTGTTAATTTTGTTGTTTGAAAATGTCCTCAAGGTGTATATTGGATAAAAGAATAATAATAATAATAAGTGTAGCATTCACGGCAGAATAGTCATTGGGTTTGGGTGAGTAAGTAGTCAACAATGATTTGGAAGCCTTGGCCGATAACGAATGCGATTCTGGCAGTCGCTGACTTGGCTATTACAGGGCAAAGTCAGTCCCCTCTAGCAAAACTTATTTTATTATCCATCCTTGTGTTTGAGCGGTTGCTAGTTTTATGCTGCTTACAAAGGCAAGTGTATTGTTTATTATACCTTCTTGTTTCTATCTTTCCTTCCTTTTTGCCAACATTTTCTTTCGGCACACAGGGGTTTCAGCTTATGCAAGGAATTGCGCTTTGCTGCATCCCATGTGATTATGCAAAAACAAATCGTGAAGGGGAAAAGAACACTGCCTCTAAATACGACGAATGTAAGGAGGGGTTGTACTTGGATTGATGACTGGTAGATATGCATCCATAATCTGCCAACCCCAACTCCCAATTTTTTTACCTTATATCTTGAGTTCTAGAGATGTAATGACGAAACTTAAGGGATGATTTGGTAGGAAATAAGAACAATGACCAAAAGGAAAAGGGTTTTCTGATTCCATTTGCAAATCCGTAGATCATGAGCTTTGGGTTTTCCTCTTGCTTCTTCTCTCCATCCGTCTTTATAGTCTATTTGTCCACTTCCATGGGTTCCAACTTAGGTTCAAAAACTGAGGTTGGCAAATCTAGCAACGGGTCGGATCGGTTTTTTTCAAAGATAAACCCATGGGTTTGGGTTTGGGTTTGACAAAACCCGACCCAAACCGACCCATTGCCATCCCTACAAGGCTTCCATATGTGCAAGAGTAAACAGTGGTGTTTCTATTTGAAGTGTGTGTTGTTATTTCATGATTTTTACACGTCATAGGACTCCTTATAAGGGGTCGTTTGGACTAGAGATTTTGATAACGAGGGATTTTAATTAAAATCTCTCGTTTAAAGTACCTGGAAATTTGTATGTCGGATTTGATCAAGATAACTCGTTTGGATTGAAACGCTGAATTTTAACTTTAAAACTCAATTTACAATATTGTCCTTTGTCTTCTTCGTTTGTTCGTTGTTCATATTCTACCTACCTCATTCACTCAATCAAACAAATTACAGACTAGAGCAATGGTTCCTTCTTCTACACCTACTATTCGCAGCAATCATCTGTTCTTCCCCTACTTCTACGACAACTAATCATAGCAAAGACTGCTTTTCTTTTATGCTTCCATCACAAACCCAAAAATTTCATAACTGTTTGCAGATTAAAGAAAGAAGATAAAAGCCCCAGAATCAAAGATAAATAAAAATAACAAAATCACAAACCCAAAATCTCACTCCCTTCCAATTCCAACCGATTGGGTTTGCAGAACAAAGAAAGAATTGCTAGTCAATTGGAACCCAAATTGGGTGATTCCCTCTTCTCTCTCCCATCTGACCCCCTTCCCGTCCCCAATAATCCATCTGAACCCGCCAATTTCCCAACTTCTTCTCGATTCTTCACCATGCATATGCGAACAACATATCGGAGTCGGCGTGGCGGGTGTCTCCAGCGCGACCACTGAACCCAGAACCAAGGGAGAGCTTCTTCGCCATAGAGAAGTTGTCGATGGGTTGTTATTAGGGTTCATGTACGACGGTGAAGGCGACCGGGGAGGAAACGATTAAGCGTAATAGATTGAATCCAGATTCCATATCTGCCGCCGAGGAGGATGGCAGAGTCGACTGGGGAGTCAACGACAAAGGACGATGGGGGAAGGTTGACAACTGTGGCTATGGTTGGGGAAAGCTGGAAGCTGCTCCGGATGCTCTGTGTCTGCGACAGTAGAGTGGTTTGAGGACGAAGGTTGCGGAAAAGAAGGGCCGAACAAGGGTAGTTTTTGGAATAAACGAAAGTAGAACGAGAGATTTAGAAATAGCTGATAGTGATCAGCTATTTCAAAAACCCACGATTGAGGGTTTTTAAATTTCTTAATTCTAAAATAACTCATCATTGTCAAACGCAGAATTGTTTTAAAATCCTGCATAACGAGAGATTGTGCTAAAATTCTTCTGAAATCCCTCATTAAAATCTCTAATCCAAACGACACCTAAGAAAATTATCATGGGATGTGTTAGTGTTGTTCTCAAATAGAGAGGCCCATAAATAACAGACCAATCTAGACTACTTATAATATATTTTAAAGAGTTTGATTTGCTCCATTTCAAATTTCCTGTAACGAGAGTGAAAGTAGGAAGGGTATTTTTGTCTACACAATCAATTTTTTATTTCATACAAAAAAAATCAATGCTGGGATTTGAACCATGGTCTCTTTAACCAAAGGCAAGAATTGTAACCAATTAGACTAGACACAGTTGTTATACTTTATTAATACAGAAACATAGAGTAAGTTAAAATTATGAAAAACAAAGTACTTTTCTATCACAGTTAGTTAGCCCGCTATGTCTCATGTAAGTATTTTGTGGTGTTTGATACTTCTATTTTCATATTTTAATAATTAATTTATAATTTTTTCTAACTTATAAATGAATGATAATTTTAAAATCTCAACACAAATATCATTGGTTTGAATATTGCGCATTGAATTGAAATGTTGAATGAAGTGTTCAATGACGACATAAGAACACTGGTACCATACATTTCAAGAAAAATAAACATGACAAACACAAATACCAATTATCTCGACAGTCTATGCTAAAATTCGAAATTGTTTAATCATTCAATTTGAATGATAGTTTAGTCAAATCAAGCAAATAATTCACGATTGTGTATGAACAAAAATAAAAACATATGTATTGTATTCTGAAAAATGTATTTATTTTAACAATCTAAAAAAACAATCAAAACTTTCATACGACCCCTTATTTCAATAATGTAGTTAATGAAATAATTTTTATCAGCATGATGCAATGTTCAAGCTAAGGTCCAAGTATTAATCACCAGTATATAGTATTTATCATAGTTAACTATTTCAATATCCACGGCTAACTATTAATGATTGCTTGCTTTCTCTTAGAGAGTTTAATGTCGCACTCTCATGCCTAGCTATGCTCTAAGCATGTGTTTTCCTTTTCACAATATCATTTGCAGTTATTTATTAAATCAACTTTGTTTCTAGCTTTCAATTCCTAATTATTCACTTCTTACCAACTTATGGGAATGCTAAATATATTTTTCATGTCTAATCTATTAAATATAAATGTTGCTTATCACTTAAATTCAATGGTATCCATGTTAGGTTTGATGTCACCAACATATTCTCTCAATTTCTCCAAAAAGCATAATATCTTGCGATTGATATCATAGTTTCGTTAGGAAAATTTCAACAAACTCAATCAATATTCGAACTCTTCGAAATAGCTATCTACATGCGAATATGAAGTACTGAGCAGCTAAAACTCTACTTGAGTTAGTACAATCTTTTGCGCTATCGATTCAAAATTCAATATTGGTTATCTTATTACAATTTAGTCATACTAATTGTGCAGTAGGGGACATCTTATCAAAATCTTAAAGAAAGACTCTTTGATTGATCGCTTTCATGATATAATCAATTATACCAAAATAGAAGTGATCAAATTTATAAGATGCACTCAAAGTTTGCTATAATTATTGAGGTTCAACAGCACGTTAGGCGTACGACGGTCATTGGGCATTTCTCTATCTCCTAGCTCGCCTAGACATGCTTAGACATTATAATAAAAATATAAATTTTAATAATGATGAATAAAACAACGGTTCTAAAACACTTTCATACTACGAAATAACTCTCAAGTTTATAAATTATTTTCTTTTACCAAATGATATAATTAATTCATTCATGAGCTGAAATAGCTAATTATAAGCACTTCAAATTTAAGTTAAAACTCTATATGATGCAATTGCTTGACGAAATGGGTTTTATAATAGAGTGGTTCTATCGAGAGAGGTCTCTAAGAAACATGGCTTACTTAATTATTCCTTATGTGGATATTATATCTATCTTCATCGTTACTTTTACATTGGATTCAATTTAGTATACTTTTTCATTTAGATAGATTTTTTATGATGTTCTAAGATATAATATATCATTATATATGATGGTGTAGGATATTAAATCCTCTCATTTTAGGTTCAAATTGATGCATTTTCCCCTTTACCGTTCCCTTTTATGGGTTAATAATTTTTATGACATTTTTCACTTTAAAATATCGCGAGCGGAATCATTACACAACAATTTGTGTTTTTTCGCTTCCTCTTCTCTTGGTTAGATATTGTGTCCATATTGATTCCTATATTGATTATCGAATTACTACTTTTTTGTTCTTTTTTCTGATGCAAGATATGATTTTATGTCTGATAATATAGATTTATTTTTCAAGCATGTGGATGCTTGAGACTTTTCATTTGCCTCATAACTTACATTTGACAATGACTCCAAACTTGGATGGGTTTCTATTCAGCACAAAGGACCAGGAAACCGGACCGGACCGGCCGGTCAGACCGGGAAAACCGGAAACCGGAGGTAAAACGGCCCAATAGGGTATTTGTACCCTTCAAATTCCTGCCGGGCGGTATTTGCGGTTGGACAGCAATGGGCCGAAATTTCGGCCAGTTTTAATAAACCTGGCAGTTTGTTTCATTTAAGTGAAACGGCACCGTTTTGACGCGAGTTAAAAAAAAAAACAGAAGGGAAGGGAAGCAGAGACGCGAAAACCTACCTTCGGCTGGCCAGCAAGCGCCCTTCAGTCTTCTCTCTGCCTCTCCTCTCCCTCTCCCCGCGCCGCTCTGCCTCTCCTCTCCCTATCCCCGCGCCGCTCTGCCGCTCTCCCTCTCCCCGCGCCGCTCCAACACTCTGCCTCTCGTCTGCCTCTCGTCTCCCTCTCCCCGCGCCGCTCTGCCGCTCGTCTTCCTCTCCCTTCATCAGACAAGTAATTACTAACACTCCGGAGTTTTTTTTTTTGGTACATGTATTGCTCGAAAACACCAAGCAACTAGAGTATCGAGGAGGCATGTAATTCGAGTTTGTTATTCGACCAAGCTAGCTCATACTATGCCCCTAGCTGTAGTTATTTCGAGTTTGTTATTAGGTTGTTTAGGTAGAGTTGATTTTAGGTAGTAAAGGGATAATTGATGGATGTTAGATGTGTGTTTGATAATAGGTTAAATACACTTGTATATCCAAAACTTTTACGGTTGTGCCAATAATATCCATATTTTTTGAAATACCACTTATATCCAATTCCTTCACATTCTTTAACGGTGTGTTTGGATATACAAGTGTATTTAACCAAAAATATATTGGGAAATGGATAGATTTGGCAAAGAACAACTTTAAAACATGGATATGAGTGGTATTTCGGAAAATTTGGATATTATTGGCACAACCGTGAAAGTTTTGGATATACAAGTGTATTAAACCTTGATAATACGTCAATTTGTGTGCAAACCATTTTTCTTTCTTTTTTATGAAATTACAAGTGAGGAAGAGCTGAAATGTTGTTTCAGATTGAGAAAATGTTAGTTTCTTAGGCGGTATAATCCGGTTTTATTCCGGTATTTTCCCGGTATGGTACCCTAATTTTGCCGGTATGGTTTTTTAACAGAAAAATAATTTTTTAATTCCAAAAACGGTATTTACCGGTATGAAACGGTTGAACCATGGTTGTACCACGATTTACCATGCCAAAGACGATTCCGGTTTGATGTCCGGTACGGTTTCGTAATCCATGTTCAGCACATAAATTGTTAATGATGTAAAATTTATGAAACTAAGATGCATATTAATAAACAATGTAAGGTCTCATCTTCCCTTTTAAGCACTACATATCATTGTTTACTTACCATTAAATCAAAGTCTTTCTAACTTGAGTAAGAGCTACAATGACTTTTATTAACTTTCACTACTCATATATCACAAATGTTCAAATCATTATCAAGTGTTCATACAATGACTTTTATAGTTGTGGATTTCCCCCAAAATGTTAGGTATGTTGATTTTAGTTTTTGCCTTTTTTTCACTTTGATTTAGATTTTTATGTGTTGCTCTATTAGTTGAACTTGCCAGCTGGAGATCTGCATGCTTTGTTTCATGATACCATTGAATACACTAAAGTCAATGGAACCATGACTGTGTCAGTTAGTTTGTTCTTTTTAAGGACACTTTAAACATATACTTTGTTTCATCTACACATAAATATAAGGCAATGTCAGGGGAAAGAGCGGGTTGCTTTCGTTTATCGTTTTCGATATTAATTACAAAAATGAATTGTTGTTCTGATTAGTTTACTTTTTCCACGGTGTGAGACAAAAAGGTTAGGTTTTGGTCCCTCAAATATTTCTGGGTTTCCTTTATACTCTCATCATTCTTTCTTTTAGTTAAAGTTATCAAACCGGATTATAGCGTTTTACTTGTTTAGCAAGTGGTATGATTCGGTTGGATTGCAATCGGTACATGTAGGTTTAATAAAATATATAGAAATATGAACAATTATTACCATCAAATGAATTTAAACATATACATAATATTTAAATAAAATACATTCCAAACAAAAATAACAAATAATATTTCGAACACACGTTTCCACTTTTCCTTAAGAAGCTGCTGGCCTTGGTCTCGCAGCCTTCGCAGTGGATGGTAATTTTTGCTGTCCTCTGGCGGATTTGGAAATCCCGGAACTGGGTTGTGTTTGAAGGCAAACAGTTTGGTCTCCCGGCTCTTATATGTCAATTTTCGCAACAAGTGGAGGAATGGGCGCGTCTTCCAGTGGAGGAAGGCTCCCCGGCCCTGGTGGTAGGGGATCAAGGGCCTAGGTTGGTTGGAGCTTTCGAAGTTGTCTGTAGATGGGATGAGGCCACTAGGAGGGGTTCGCATGCGGCAGGAGGAATGGTCATTTTGACTCCCTCTGAAGCTGTCCTCAGGGCTAGTGGGGTCTCTTTCCCTGTCATGGATGATCCAGCAGTTGCGGAGCTGTTGGCACTGCGAGCGGCGATATTTTGGTGCTTGGAGCAAGGCTTTGCTTTGGTTCGTTTGAAGGAGATGCGAAAGTGATCATTGATAAAATCATTCGTGGGGATTCGCGAGATAGCAGGATGGGTGCTGTATTGGAGGAAGTGTTAAATCTTTTTGGTAGTAACCCTGGGTTTAGTATTCGTTTCGTAGGTCGGCGTCACAATAGGGTAGCCCATGTAGTGGCTAGGAAAGCCCTCTCCTTGTACCCGACTATGAGTCGTGTTTTTAATTATCAGACCTGGCTGTTCTCCAGGATGTAACTATTTTTTTTTATATCAATATAAGATTATCTTTTGTAAAAAAAAAAAAAAATTTTGCAAACTCACAATACTGAAATGGATTCTATATATGTCTCTTCCCCCTTTCTCCCACATTTTCTGATAGAAATACACTAAATCCGTACAAATACATCTCAAATAATTGCTACTTGTAATTCAAATTACATGAACTTGAAACCAGCAAAATCAAATTTACAAGTATATGAAACCCAACCCAACCATACTATTAGTGTAGGTCTTGCTTGGCGCTGATGCGTGGACTTCGAATGAACAAGTTTACTTATGATTTCACATTATATTTTAAATGGTTTATTCAATCATACCAAAATTTTTGCTAAGGATGTGCAATTATCTCGTCAACTTCTCGGGTGATGGTACTATTTCATTCTGATAAATTGTTGTATGGTATTATCGACGCTTACGCATCTGAATTATTTGCCCTTCGTGATGCTATAGGATGGTGTCTTAATCATAATAAATATATGAGTTGTTACTTTTGCAGGGATTCTCAACTAGTCATCCATGATCCTACATCAATGAACTCTTTCCATCTCAGAAAAGTTCATTCTCCCTTCTCGTTTATCATGTCAGTTTTGTTTCTTATTTTTCCCCTCAAAACTATAGGTGTCAAAACATGACCCGACCCGAGTAACCCGCTCAACCAATCCGATCCGCAACCCGCCCGCAACTTGATTGGACTAAAAGTCAAAGACCCGCAACCCGCTCGACCCGCAACCCACTTGACCCGCAACCCGCTTAACCCGCAACCCGCTTGACCCGCAACCCACTTGACCCGAACCCGATTGACCTGCAACTCGCTTGACCCGCAACCCGCTTGACCCGTAACCCGACTAACCCAACCCGAACCCGCCCGATTGGCACGAATAATACTACATGATATATTTTTGTGCATAAATATTATATGTAGATAATACATATATAAAGTTTACGTGACTTGCTCTATTATTTTTTCATCTTTCCCACCAAGAACAAAGGTTTACTTTTCTGGTCTCTCTGCCTTTCAGTTGAACCAAGTAAACAACAAGTTCGAATTGTAACAAATTAGTTACGTGGACTAGCTGGCTTTTGTGCGGGTCTTTCCCATTCAAGGTACACGGTTTAAAGCCTAGCAGCGGCATAGGTCACAAGCTTGATGTATCCATTTTGAGAAGAGGAATTGATGTCGGTGATGGCTGCATAGTGAAGACCATCAACGAATGCTATGAGAGGAGTGTAAGCACAACTAGAAACGTACTTTCCCAAAGGATCCAAGAATCACAACATGCAATACAAAAGAATCAGAACAATCGGAAGCTTCAAAAACAAAAGAATCAGAACATGAACTATAATGAATCAGAAATGCAGAGTTGACAGACCACTCCATATCTATTACATCTTTCCGTTGAAACCTGAGAAAATAGGGACAAACATGAATCATCCGGTTTGGATAAGATAGAACAAAAAACTGAAGCATTTCATTAGTTCCTAATTATGAATCTAGGGCACACTTCTCAGTTATCAAACTGCAGCTTCTACACTGACAATCAAATTGATCTGGAACTCCTATACTAATTCAAAAACTCACCACATGGTCAGAAGTGAAGGAGGCGTTCTGCTCATCGCAACAGTTGTGCTCCGGTCCGACGATGAAGAACGTTGGGCACAGAATAAAAAACACAGATGGAATTAGCTCTTGATGAGAATCGAGAAGACTTCGAGTTCATCTGAATCCAGCCTTGAATCGAGAACACCTAATTTGAGGGGAATAGGTGGGTTTCATATAAGGTTTGGTTCCATTCTCTTCAATCAACAAACAGAGGTGAGAGAACGAAGCGAAAGGGTGCAGTGGAAAGGGAAAGTGAAAAGGGTAAAGCTTTGGTGCATTTTTCTGGTTTTATTTTTATGTCTAAAAGAAATTGATGGAGAGAGCATAGTTAGTAAAATACGGTACGGGAAAGTTACGGATGTAATACGTACGGGTATTTTACTTCATCTCTAAGCTAATGTTACGTTTAATAGTACGTTAATAGTCATAAATATATAAAATAAATTATTTTTTAAAATAAATAAATATATAAATAATAGTAAAGTTAACAATTTAATTCATTAAATACGGATATAAAACGTGTTATACGGATTTTATACGTGTTTAGTACGGGAGCCACCAAATGAACGGACAAAAATGAAACGGCTTGACAAAAATACGGATACGGAAGTTTTAAACGGATAAAGTACGTACGGGTACATATACGTGTATTAAACGGAGTATTTACTAACTATGGGAGAGAGTGCCAATATTTGATGATTGTGGAGCCAAAATTTCAGTTGAGGTAAAATTATGGCGGGCAAATTTTTGCAGCAAAAATGGAGGCGGGAAAAAAGTGCGGCATGCCAAATGGAGCCCAAATTTTCGGTAGCCAAAATTGCGTTTGCACTTTGCAGTCTGCGGAAATTTTTTGGTTCGCAAAATTAGAGTCTCGACTATTTATTACAATTAACCACGTTAAAATTTAAAAACAAAAAATTTGAAGTTGTGTGATCACAATTAACCCTATGATTTTGCCAGAGTCTGGTGACCCGTTGGTGGCGGATTTAATTTGTCAAGGAGAGGGGAGGTGGTGTGATCAAAAACTTAGTCAGTGGTTCGATCCGAGAACGTGCCGTATCATTAAAGCTATTCCGCTTCCACAGGTTAATGTGGAGGATAAGCTGATTTGGTTTGATACGGCTGATGGGGAGTTCTCGGTTAAATCAGCTTACCATCTGGCTGTGACTTTGGAGAAAAGGAGGGGACGGTGGAAGTCTACGGTAGACTGGATGGATAGGGCTAGTTGGATACGGCTGTGGGAGGCTAATATCCCGCCAAAGTTGAAGGTTTTTGCTTGGCAGATCTTCAATCGGATTTTGCCAACCACTGAAGCTCTGATTAGTCGTCATATTCCAGTCCTGCCTCGATGCCCGGTTTGTTGGGAAGGTCCTGAAACTTTGGAACACCTTTTTTTGGATTGCCCGGTTGCGCGAGCTCTCTGGGGGGCGGCGGGACTAGAACACTTTGGTGAGGGTCTGCCACGACACACGTTTCCACTTTTCCTTAAGAAGCTGCTGGCCTTGGTCTCGCAGCTTTCGTAGTGGATGGTAATTTTTGCTGTCCTCTGGCGGATTTGGAAATCCCGGAACTGGGTTGTGTTTGAAGGCAAAACAGTTTGGTCTCCCGGCTCTTATACGTCAATTTTCGCAACAAGTGGAGGAATGGGCGCGTCTTCCAGTGGAGGAAGGCTCCCCGGCCCTGGTGGTAGGGGATCAAGGGCCTAGGTTGGTTGGAGCTTTCGAAGTTGTCTGTAGATGGGATGGGGCCACTAGGAGGGGTTCGCATGCGGCAGGAGGAATGGTCATTTTGACTCCCTCTGACGCTGTCCTCAGGGCTAGTGGGGTCTCTTTCCCTGTCATGGATGATCCAGCAGTTGCGGAGCTGTTGGCACTGCGAGCGGCGATGTTTTGGTGCTTGGAGCAAGGCTTTGCTTTGGTTCGGTTTGAAGGAGATGCGAAAGTGATCATTGATAAAATCATTCGTGGGGATTCGCGAGATAGCAGGATGGGTGCTGTATTGGAGGAAGTGTTAAATCTTTTTGGCAGTAACCCTGGGTTTAGTATTCGTTTCGTAGGTCGGCGTCACAATAGGGTAGCCCATGTAGTGGCTAGGAAAGCCCTCTTCTTGTACCCGACTATGAGTCGTGTTTTTAATTATCAGACCTGGCTGTTCTCCAGGATGTAACTATATTTTTTGATATGAATATAAGATTATCTTTTGTCAAAAAAAAAAAAGTGATCACAAATGAGGGAGCTAATTTTTGTATATAAAATTCCTTTTACATAAAATTATATTCTCAAATAATGAGGTTTTGTCACATATATTTAACTTTAGTAAATAAATATATTACCTATCATATTTTTAATAAAAATCATTATCATTATGATCTAAAATTTACAATAATAAATTTTTCTTATTGTTCACGGTAATTAACAGTGACGAAAAATTAATCACGGGAAATGATAATTGAAAAATAGGTAAATTAATTCCTATGATTAAAACTATACAAGTAAGTACAGGAAATTTTCCTGTGACTGACAGTGTACTTCTGGGTACGGGAAAAGTTCCCGTGAATAAGATCTCGTGACTAGAAACCTGTTTTTCTGTAGTGCATAATACATAACTATAGTTCATGGTTTAAGGTTAGTGTATAGGGTATACGGTAGTGGACTCGTGGTTTAGAGTTTGGAGTCATAGGAGGTATGTTCTTCTCAATATCCGAATATAAAATTGACTAAACTTACATTCTTCACATAACATACGTTATATCTTATACCAACAATTTCATAACATATAACTATAGGACTTTGCTACTGTGACATGCATGTCACCATAACTTGTATTTGTAGGTCGACCTCATATAGGATTAGGTCGACCTAATATGCACTTTTAGGTCGACCTTATATAGGATTCGGTCGACCTAATATGTCGTTTCAGTTCTGTGAGGTTCAACGACGCAGTTGACCTTTTATAGCAAATGGTCGACCTATTTGGGAAGCGAACAGAATGAAAGGTCGACCCAAATACCTCATAGGCCGACCATTTTGATTAACTGAGGTCGACCGCATAAGTACGAGGTCGACCGCTTGCACACCGTATTCGTATTGGATAAGGATTCCAACACTTGAAAGGTAACCCTAACTTATCGACCACTTTCACTCGATCCATTCTCATCCTAAATAACTATAAATACGAATATACGTCACCTTCATCGCCACCGAAACTCTAAATTAGGTTTTTTTTTACGGTTAGAACTTTTGTGAAGAAGATCCTTTGCGGTTGCTGTTGTACGTGATTCAAGAGGTCGACCACATGGAAGTTACGAGTCATTGTTTTCATTATTTATGACTGATTCTGTTGGTTTGAAACGTAATTTATACGAGCAAAAGAACCACCCACATCGACATACATAAGCAAAAAAGGCGCAGGACATAGGTTGATTTTCTTGTATTCGGTCGACCTCGTACCGGATTAGGTCGACCGCGAAACCAACACTTGATCTTCATTTTACGTCAAATGATGATGGATACAACACTTCTCTTCTATCTGGTCGACCTCTTTCTGTAAATGGTCGACCATTTTGTTAATGACCGCTATCAAGTGGTCGACCTATATACCTTTACGTTTGACCATTTTGCTTCTGACGCCAATGAAAAAGGACCGATGTTTTATTGTGGTAGACCAACAATGACAACTTAAACTACAAACGGTCGACCACTACATTTTAAAGATCGATCGTGATAAGTCATCAGGGTACCCACATGAGTGTATTCGGAAACCTCACTAAACTGAAACAACATATTAGGTTGACCTAATCCTATATGAGGTCGACCTAAAAGTGTAGATTTGGTCGACCTAATCCTATATGGTCAACCTAAAAGTGCAAGTTACGATGACATGCATGTCACCATAGGCATACCCATAACTATATTATAGGGTATAGCCGTATAGGGTCATGGTTTAGAGTTCAGTGTTTGCCTGTTTGGGTTATTGACTTATGGTTAAGGGTTGAGGTTAGTTTTAGGGTTAATTACTTAATGTTGTGATTTAGGATAATGTATGGTTGATGGTTAAGGTTAGTTTTAGGTTTCAGATTTAAAATGGTGTTATAGGGTTAGGGTTTAGGGTTAAGGTTTAGGGTTTCTTCATGGTTATGCTTTATGATAGATATTTTGGTTTTTATAGTTTAGTAATTAATTTGATTTTAACAATTAATTAATTAATTAATTTAACTTGTGAATGTACATCTTAAATATATGTAATAACTAATTATAAAAAAAATTAGATGGTTTGGACCGAACAACCCGCAACCCGACCTGTTGTAATCCGCAATCCGATCAACCCGAACCCGATTGATCCGCAACCCGATCAACCCGAAACCCGATCAACCCGCAACCTGGTCAATCCGAACCCGCTTGACCCGCAATCCACTTGAACCGCAACCCGATTAACCCACGACCCGACTGAACCCAACCCGAACCCGCTCGATTGACACCTATACTCAAAACTCTCACAAAATTGCTCATCTAATGACAAAAAAGACTTTTTGATTTGGAATCCAATTGCATACTGGCCACCTTTCTTGATTATCATCAGCTTGTTAATTTGTTGTTTGACAATGTCCTCAACATTTATCTTGGATATAATAATAATAATAATAATAATAATAATAATAATAATAATCAAAATAATAATAATAATTAGTGTAGCATTCACGGCAGAAAAGGAATAGTCATTGGGTTTGGGTGAGCAAGTAGTCAACAATGATTTGGAGGCCTGGCCGATAGTGAATGCGATTCTGGCAGTCGCTGACTTGGCTACAAACTCAGTCCCTTCCAGCCAGCAAACTTATTCTATTATCCATCGTTGTTTTGAGCGGTTACAAGGCAAATGTATTGTTTATTATACCTTCTTGTTTGTATATTTTCTTCTTTTCTATTCTATAGAGTATTGATGTTTTAATGTACAATTTGAAGTTGTACGATAATGTTAAATGTATAAGTTTAGGGGGACCTCCTACAGTAACTTGTGTTTTTTGTAAGTTAGGTAACTTGATGTTTTTTGCACAAATCTAGGCCATCGAAATTTTGAACATGCAATTCTAACCATTGATGGGAATTATAAAAAGAATAGTCTGCGTATGGGCAACCCGCTGTACCGGTTGCACCTCCTGCCGAAAATTCCGCCGGAATTCTAATTCTAATAGGAAGAGGTCGCCGGGTTGGAAGGGGTTTTCTGATGCCCAATTAGGGTGTAGGCGGCCAAATTATTTCCATTTTAAAATTAGGTTTTCCAATCCTGAGT